TATAATAAATGGAAATAATGAAAAATTAGCTCAAATACTTACCGAAACTATATCACGTCTCTTCGACCGCGTGGGCCCACCACTCCACCTATGTTAGGAATATGTGAAATCTTTGACCACTCAGAATCCGGGCCGCTTTCTTCCCTGCACCTCTCCTCCAACAATGGACAATCTTCAACAATTAAATGATGTAGCTTGGTGAGGCGTTGCATCGCTTCCTTAGAGGGCATATGCCTAAGCTTTTTTAAGTTACGCAGAATTAAATACTCAAGAGAGGACAGACCCCCAAACCACTCCGGCAATGCTTCAATTCCAAAACCACTTAACCATAACATTCGGAGCGAAGTGAGATGCTGAATCTGATATGGCAATGAATCCCAATGTTCCCAACCATATAAAGTCAAACTCGAGAGAGATTTGGATTGTTGGATGCCGTCGAGAGCAGCTTGGAATGAGTTGAAATCAATTGATTCTGAGAATCCACCAATGCCCAATTTTGTTAAGTTGCTAAGACGGCCAATTCCCTTGGGCAAACTCCTCAGTTCAGGACAATTGGATATCTCTAGGACTGAGATACAAGGCAATTCCCCCAAATCTATTGGAAAAGAAATGAGTTTCTTGCAATTAGTCACGATTAGCCACTCTAGACCCCTGATGGACTCAATCATTTCACTTGGTAGGCAGCTCAGCTCAGAGCAATCCCTAATTTCCAAACGTCGAAGAGAAGGGGGACCTTTTTGTCCACTTTGATATGAAATTGATTGCAGACTTCGACATCCAATTATACTCAAAGACTCGAGAGACCGGAAGCTGTGTAGATCATCAGGTAATTCTCTCAATTTGTCACACTTCATAATCTTCAACTCTCGAAGATATTTCTGGCATCCTTTCAAGTGGGGGAGACAAGTGAGCATTGATATATTCACGATCAAGAGCTTTTCCAAAGAAGTTAGGTTGCTGCTACTCAAAATCTTTGTCAATGGAAAATCACTATCCATATTATCAATCTTCAATTCTTTCAAGCACGGGAAATGACTTGGAGAAGTATTCA